TAGGGGCCATGATGGTACTGAAACCCTTGATAAACCGACGATAAAAAGTAGCGAGTCCGTGAAAGCTTCGAACGTCTCTAATGTTCTTGGGTTCGGGCCATTCTTCGATAGCTCTGACCTTTTCAGGGTCAGCGGATACTCCTTCAGACGAGACCACGAATCCTAGAAAAATGACTTGCTGTGTAAGAAAAGTACATTTCTTAGGATTAGCATAAAGTTGCTCTTTTCTCAACACGGCACAGACTTGACGCAAATGGTCCACGTGCTCCTCACGAGAGTTACTGTAAATAAGGATATCGTCAAAGTACACAACCAAAAATTTTCCAGTGAAGGGGCGGAGTACTTGAGTCATCACTCTCATAAAGGTGCTCGGAGCATTAGTCAATCCAAAGGGCATGACCATCCATTCGTACAATCCATCTTTGGTCTTAAAAGCGGTCTTCCATTCATCACCGGGACGGATGCGAATCTCACTCTTAAGATCAATCTTAGAGAAGATGGTGGCTCCAGACATTAAGTCAAGCATGTCATCCAACCGGGGAATGGGGAAACGGTATTTCACCGTAATCTTGTTAATCGCACGGCTATCCACACACATACGCCATGTTCCATCTTTCTTTGGCGTCAGTAATGCGGGGACCGCACAAGGGCTCATGCTTTCTTTCACAAAGCCCTTCTTCAACAATTCATCAACTTGCCTTTTCAACTCTGCATGCTCATTGGGATTCATCCGATAGTGAGGCAAATTGGGAAGGGATGCTCCCGGGACTAAATCAATTGCGTGTTGGATATCACGCATCGGGGGTAATTGGTCCGGGAGGTCTTCAGGGAAGACGTCAGAAAATTCGTCCAACACAGTAGCAACTTCTGGGGGAACCACGTTGGAAATATCCTTCGGAGCTTCTCTAGCGGCGAGGGCGAAAATAGGAGCTCCGTTGGCCAGTTCATGATCAATTTCTTTGGCTCCAATCAGGTTAACACCTTGGGAAGATTTATTTGGGTCGGTCTTCTTGTCAGTTCCTTTTGGTTGAACCGGAAGGATCTTGACCTTCTTCCCGTCGTGTTCAAACAATAGCATATTGGATCGCCCGAAGATGTGAACGTCGTTATCAAATAACCAGGGCCTTCCAAGAATAACTTGACCCACATCCATTTTCAAAACATCGCACCAAACTTTGTCCTTATAAATGGCAAATTGAAGAGGGACTAGGCATCTCTCTTGGACATTGAGGGCGGTGTCGTTAATCCATGATACCTTGTATGGATTAGGATGGGGTACAACCTTGAGACCAAGCTTAGCGATCACAGCTGAGGAGACCGCGTTAATGCAACTTCCACTGTCCACGATCACTTTACAATTTTTATCACCAATCTTTGTGAACGTGTGGAAAATGGAAGTACGTCTCCAATCATCAACAGCCTTGGGTTGAGAGATGGCGCATCTGACAACTGATACAGTAGGAGTTTCAATTTGTCTAAGACAACTCAAGATAGTATCATCAGCATCATCCTCGAAATCATCGGTATCATCGTCGATTTGATGGACAAACTCATCATTATCAGGTTCAGGTTCATATTCGTGTTGACCATCGATGATAGTCACCTTGTGACGGGTCGGACAGTTCGCAGAAACATGCCCATACCCTTGGCATTTGTAGCACTTGACGTGAGCTCCAATCTTGGAGAAATCTCTCTCCGGCTCCTTGCCTTTGGAATCGACTTTAGACTGGGAAGAACTAGGGTTAGATCGACTCGGAGGATGACTAGAAGTAGTGGCACGGGAAGATTGGGAAGAATGAGCTCTAAAATCCTGATTCCTATAAGATTGATGGGATTTGGCTTCATCTAGATCTTGAACTAACGCGTAAGCTTTTTCAAGGGTGTCTACTCCCCGAGCAAAGAGTTCGGTTTGCAGATCATTCCTCAATCCAGCTCTAAACTTCGACAAAACTTTCATTGGCGCCTCTTGTTCAATGGTGTTGCATCGAGTGAACAGTTCATCAAATTGTGCAACGTAATCTTTTGCGGATTTGGTGCCTTGAGTGAGACGATGCCACTTATCTAGCAATCGATGATAAAATGATGGCGGAAGGTATTTCTGTTTAAGTTCGTTGGTCATTTCTCGCCAAGTTGTAATCGGTAACTCACCTCTAATGTGCCTCAACGTTTCGAGGTTGGTCCAATATTGGCAGGCGGGTCCGGTAAGTTTCATTGCGGCGAACTTGACCTTTCGGGGTTCCGTCAGGGCGTACCAATCAAAATAACGATCCATGCTCTTCAGCCAGTCCAAGAAAGCTTGTGGGTCGAGCTTGCCGTCGAAAGTTGGGGCGTTGATCTTAATACTCCTTAAGTATTGCGCATCCGGATCAGGTACTGGTTGATGTGGGGGGCGCTGACCAATGTTTCCATAGCCTTGACCTTGCAGCGGTGGGGCGATATGTTGATAACCTTGATCTGGCGGTGGTGGAGTTGCAACACGAGCTTCTTCGAGCCTAGCAAACTTTTCGTTGGTTTCATTTCGGAGATTGGTTAAACCCTGGACTACGGCACCTAATTGTCCTGCTAGCTCATCGAGTTTCTTATAGAGTTCGGAATCGCTACTGCCTGACATACTGGACTCACTAGTCGACTCACTTGACTCTCCTAAGCGATAGGGTAGACCGGTACGAGTGGGCATGCACTAAATGCAATGAAATGAGTGGGTGCAAAAAAAAAAAAAATTTAAATGAGATGACTAATTTTTTTTTTTTTTATTATAAAGACACAAATTTCCTAACCTAGAACCGGGTGCTCTGATACCAAAAATGATGCGAAACAATGTGATGCAGGTATGAAGATTAACAACAGCAATGCTTCGCCAAATCAGCGATCGATCTAGGCAGGAAGCTCATGAATAAAGTGTAGCTTTTGATGGGTTTTAAGCAAAAGTTGCAATGTACTAAGTTCAAATCTTTGTAAATGATCCAGAAAATAAATGTAATGATTCGTTCTCTCAATACAGTTCAAAGTGTAATATTTGGATAAGTAAAAATACTTAGCAACAGATTCGCTCGCTCACTTAGTCAAACTGATTACAGCACAAATACGATCGATAGTAATATTGATAACAACATGCAAGCAATAGCAGTTCCGAAAATAATTGGGCGAAAGAAAGTTGAACCTTCGTCGGGTTGAACTGGTTCGACGGGAGGATCCTCTGGAGGTGGTTCAACGACGCCAAATATGAGGGGTGGAAGCTCTCCACCGAGGGCGGCGTAATTCGGATGGAGTGGTGTATCTGGATGGAAACGCCGATGCCACGAACTGATTCCCAAACTACTCTCTACGCTGTCAACGATCTGATGAGTCACACGCTCAACGTACTCGGGCACGCTCTCGAATGACTGATAATCAAACCACGGGGAAAGCTGTAAATCTGCGATGCCGGTCTCTGGATCTAGCACGATTCCGTCATCTGCATCAGGATCTGCCATACACCATCAATTGTAAAATCAGGGATCAAATGGTTGAATCTGACTCAACTAGCTTCAACAACTCCGGATTGGGTCAAGTGGGTCTGGTCCACACTTGACTCAAATCAAATGGGTTGGTTGAGTGAATAGGGACTCTGCTTTAAATCACTCAAGCCAAATAGTCTTCAATAGGATCTGGATCTGAGGACAAGCGGAAAAGGGGGAGCAGGAACGAATCGACGCTCGACGAATGAGGACGGCGCTTGAGTCGGGATGGACGGCGTTCGGATCGGAGTGAGCGGCGGTCCAGGCGGCGGTGCTGACTGGGCGGGACTGGACGAGGAGCTCGAGGATTCTGGGCTGGCTGGTCGTCGTCGCGGGGAGAGACGAAGACTTCGTCGGCGATGATGGTTCAGGTGCGGTTGCAGGGGATTTGAAGGGGAGGCGGTCGGATTTGGGATGGCGGTGGTTGCTCGCGTCGGGGGATTCGGGCGGAGGGAACACCGGAGGCGGACGAAGGGGAAGGCCGTCGGTGGAGGAGGTGGTGATTGCTGGAGTCGACGGAGGAGGGCGGCGGTCCGGTGGTCTTCGGGTGTGGTTGCTGCGGTTGTAAGGGGAGGACTGTGTGGGTTTGATTGTTTGCTTGGAGGAGAAGATGAACAGTATCGGATTTGATTTTCTTTTGTTTTTATTTTGTGAAGAGATTGACGGCTGATCAAAATCAATAAGCTAGGGTTTCACACCATTATTTAGCAAATCAATTTCATTCATCAGTAATTTTCCAAACTGATTACATGAGAGTTTAAATAAAGCAAATTACAGTTTTGGAAAATCCTCTCAATCCCTCAAATCTCTCTCTTAACCAATTACAATCAATCAGTTGGTTAACTACCAAATAAAATCAAAATTCGAAATTCAAAAATTCAAAATTCAAACTAATTATTACAACTTGAAATCAAAACCATAGTGCTGAAATATTGCGCCTCCTGCGCTGATAAACTCGGCGAAAATCTCGTGTATGAGTCCGGATGTCCCCATCAGTATATATGCAAAAAACCCAAAAATTTAATAGTGGATGTGAGATTCTGAGAAACCCAATTTTCTGTTTTAAAGTTTCCAATAAAGGTCTATCCTTGGGAGATTCAGATTTAGTAGCACAGTCTCAAACAAGCATCAAGTTAATAGCTCTCTACAAGGACATTCTCCCAATTGAAAAGCATGTTCATGACAAAATCACAGGGAAATGAGAACAATCCACATGATCTATACCACTAAAATTACAAAGTTGCAAAAAATATTGTATCTTATATAACTCATAAATAAAACAGAACAAAATCATAGTAATTAATGGAGAGAATATCAAAAGTGCAATTTTTCTACATTATATAAAGCCTACACGCATCAAACTCGAACAGTTTTTTGTGCAAAAGAAAACAAGTATACTAATAAAGACTTCTTATAGAAGAAATAATTCAATCTATATGAGTATGTAAAATTGCAAACGAGGTGCACCTCAGCAAAGATAAGGAATGAAAGACGATTCAGTACCTCATATCCAATCCAAGCAACTGAAGCAATCACGCAAACTACCAATGCATTAGTAAATTTCCTGTAAATGTCCAGCTTAACAGAACTCCGCCGTGCCTAAGCAATTACCAAATAAGGATGTATTAGAGCTACTACCCCACATACATAACAGAACAAAGGAGAATTCTGAAATAGTCTAGACCATGTTATGAATGAAGTATTGTCATCTAGTTCCCTGTATTTTAGTTTAGATGCACCTGTAGCTTTTCTAGAGTCCGAGAAAGAGAAGTAAAAATCCAGAGTATCAAAAATGCATCCAGAAATGCATCTGGAAGCTCAAGGAAGAGCCTTGATTTGCCTGAAATGTCATTTATGGTTCCAACATTTTCAGCAATATCCAATAACTCCGTGGCCAGAAAATATGTTACCCCTAGAAGAAGAACTTTTGATGTAAGACCACCAAGAGTTGGGCGAACAACACCATATCCCATGGACACTGAAAGTATAAGCAGCCGTGAAATTGTTTTTCTTACTGCTCCAACTGTCACCACCCAACTTGTGATTCCAACAGGCCTCGTGCCTGTGCTATTAAAATTCAAATATTCAAAGTACCAAAGAGTCATTTCAAACAAACCCAACGCTATAATAGCGGTTATGCAGTTTTGAATTGGTAATATGTCTTTTGAAAACCTAATATACTGAACAAACCAAATGAGACCGAGCAGCAAATAAGCGAGAGACATGAAAATATAAAATGTCATTAAGGGAGCCATCCTGCCCGGCAAATAAGCATCAAGGTTTTTCCACAAGGTCTTTCCACTCAGTGCTAGACCCTTCAGCTTTGGATCACAGGAGATAAAGAATAAGTTGTACATTCCATTCTTTGTTATAAAACCTCTTTACTGTCCATTGTTGCATCTAGATAATCTGCGCTGAAGTGTGTATTTATTATAAATGGTCATTCTGCATCCACAGACCATGGTCTCCTAATGACTTCCCCTTGTTTGCAATCCTCAAGCTTAGCAAGATCAGGTGTGCAACATATGGACCTTTGTCCACCATAAGCAGATCCACCAATATTGTTGCGATCAGCAGCTTCAAATATTATATTCTGGATCAATCCTGTACTGTGCTCCATGCTTGAGTGTTCTTCAGCTGCTTCTTTACTCCTGAAGAACGTAATGTTCTCAAACCTGCCACAGAGTTACCTGCTTAGAAGTCACGCATAGGGCAATTAATCAAAGGAAGTACTACATAATATTTATCTTTATTGTAGTTCATTTGGGCATGAATGTAAAACTGAGCATCTCAAACGTGGGTATGACCAAGAATACTATACTCGTGCATGAACATGACTCTTAAACATGGCAATTCCTTTGAAATCCAGAAATGAGAACATTACTATTATGTGTTTGCTTGTGAATAAGCATATAACAAGGGCACAAGCACAAAGCAAGGCGTAACCACAATGGCGTATACATAGCACATTATATAATGTGTTCAAGCTTGAGTTTGCACATGGAAGAACCTAAAACAGAAAAGCAATGAATTAAAAAAAATTGCTATATAGTTACTTTTACACAAGTATAGCAAAGACAACTGATACACCTAAAAAAAACCTCCAAGATCACTCCCATCATACCACCATTGTTCTGTTCGAACGATGTATTCCACAAATGAACATATAAAAATAATTTTTCATTTATTCTAAAAAAAATCATTTAATAGTTTTTTCACAATGGGCAAACATGACCATGACCGCTATCATGGGCGGCCTCCATAACTTGCCCGCATAATGATCTTATCATGCTTCTCCACAGTGATCAACAATAAACCATCATGGTTACATCCCTTGAAAACACAAATTTGCCACAATAATTATAATATCATTATTTACCACCAGGACCCTACCATCAAAGCCCATATCACACGTCACAACTAGTGTAGATGAATTCAATGTGCTACTGCATTAACCATGATGATGAGGCAGCCTTCTTCAAGGAGGCAGTTGACCAATTTCTGAGAAGAAACTTATCACTACAATATTTATTGTCTCTTCTCCAAATTTGTTGTTCCCAATATAATTTCGGTTGCACGTTTCATGGTTCAATAAGATATGCATCTACCTAGTAAAGGTAGCATTCACTGAAACTAGCACCTTTATTCTAAATTTCTAATCCCTTATCGTAATCTCCCACCACTATTAGTACATATATCATAGAAATTACCAAGGAGCGACCTAAACCTATCGAAGCCGATTACAACAAACTAATGACAATCTAGATCCAAACCCACGCAATTACATAATTGAACTCGGATCCAATCCATTCCCCCACATCAACCAGCATCAAAATAAAAACTTCCGCAAACTTAAAGAGATCGATCGACTCACTTGATGAAAGAACGCTCGCTGCTGTCGCCATGGATATGGGGAGCGACGATTGTCGATTCCCTCGCTGCCGCCAGAGAGAAGGAAGGCATTGCCGACCTCTTTGAAGCTTTCGAGGTCGTAGGTGTGGATCGAAGCGTCTGTGGGCCTCTGGATTAAACGCCAAAAGCTGGCAGTTTTTTTTTTTTTTTTTAGTATTGGTGTCAGTAGGTAGCAAATATTCGAGCTTTTAGTAATTATATTACCGAAGGGAGGAGAAAGTGAAAGGCCCAAAGGAGTGAGGGGGTTGCCAAACGGGCTATTTTGGTTTTAACTAGTAAGGTAGCACGTTCTTTGCACGTGCCAGGTGGAAATTTTGATGATCTAAAGGATTAATTTCACAAGATTTCAAGGACTATTATAAGAAAAATCCATTATGATTATTTGGTTGCTCATTTCGCTTTGGTATCATTGGTGTATTTTTCTAACACTTTAATCTAAAATTTCAGATACATTTTGCTTCGATATCCTACCTGCATTATATTAGAATTTTCCATTAAACTTATATTATTTCGATCAGCATGTGAATAATAAAATATTGTGCGTTTCTTAATTACTATTTTGTCATTCTTAATGACTATTTTATAGGGGTGCTAAACTGTATCCGTATCTGAGAAAATATTCGTAATTGTATCCGTTAGGATACGAATATGGTTACTCAAATCTATAACTGATAGGATATGGTTACGGATATGGTTTTGTAGTGAAATATCCGTATCCGTATCCGAAATATCCGAATACATATTAGTCATACTCTTACGATAGTTTCGATTCTTAATTAGATTTAAGATTTTTGGTTAATTTTGATGATCAAGATGTCTAATCTTAACTTTTTAATTATAATGGACATATTAACAAACTCTTTTGTATCACATGAACTATGTTTTTCTCAATACTATCTAGTTTTCTCATATTTGTTTTGTATTTGCATGCATATCCGCTTATATATTCGTATGTATATCCGTAACTGTATTCGATTTTAGTGGATATGGTTATAATTTTTTTTACTGATGTATATCCGTATCCGAGATGGGTAAGCGGATATGGATATGATAAGCATCATATCCGAGCCGTATCCGGACCGAATGCACCCCTACTATTTTATCATTCTTAATTACTATTTTCCATTCAACTTAGAATAATAAAATGTGTTACTCGGTATAAGTGCTAGTAAACAAATTGAATGGTGATAAATATATAGTTATAGCTGATTAATCTAAATAATAATATCTTTATTACTTGTGGAACCCAAATGCATTTTCTAGGGTTATTATCTCCTAGATATTGATGTATGACGTTTAATCTGAGTTGGAGTTTATTTAGATTAGGAAATAAATTCAATTTTAGAGTCAAATTAGATTAGGAAACAAAATCACTTTTGATTCATGATTTGTTTTCTCTATTATAAGGAGTCTTTTTAGGATAGAATTTTGCACTTTCTTTATTAATTTTTATAATTCTAGTCTTACTAGGAGTCTTATTTGTTTTTCTATTTAAGAAGAGTCATGTAACCCCAATACTAGGAGTCTTATTTGTTTTTCTATTTAAGAAGAGTCATGTAACCCCAAAGGAGAATAACTTTTCATTAATAAAATTTCTCTTTTTTTTTTCTATTTAAGAAGAGTCATGTAACCCCAAAGGAGAATAACTTTTCATTAATAAAATTTCTCTTTTTAATATTTTCTTCGTGGATTCGAAGATCGTTCTTTGTGGATTTAGAGAATACCCTTAGTGGATTCCGAGGTTATCACTTCCGTGCTGCGTCAATTGGTATCAGAGCCTTGTTCCTCCGATCCGATGGCAGGTGATGAAGCACCTATTTCTCGAACTGAGTTCGACGTGCTAAAGGTTGATGTTAATCAGATGAAGACTGTCATGGAGCGACTTGCGACGGCAGTTCAGCGTCTGAACGCAGCGGGAGTTCAAAATCACGTTGATGGTCACTAACGACGTGATCTGACTTCACAAGATAAAATCTACAATGATGATCATAGAGGCTACCGAAGAAAGGAGAACTATGATGCTGGAGGATTAAAAATATCATCCTTCAATGGAAAGCTTCATGCTGATGATTTCCTTGATTGGATTGATAAAGTGGATAAGTATTTTGAGTATAATATAATCCCATAAGATTGGAAAGTTAAATTAATGGTCTACAAGCTTAAAGAAAAAGCATCTGCATGGTGGGATGAAGTACTGATAAATTGATACCATCAAGGAAAGGATCTGGTTCAAACGTGGGCAAAGATGAAGAAATTATTGAGAGATCGTTTCTTACCTTTTAACTACAAGCAATGGCAGGTGTCTCTAGTGGCAAACAACAGGACGCTCACCCCCGGAAAGGAAGATTTTACCACCATCAAGATTTATCCTGAGGTTCCTGATGTTGATGATGATATGTTAATGAAGATGAATATTCTACATGATATTGTGAGTGATGTTACACATATTAATATAGTCCCGATGGAGGAGAAAGATAAAACAGAGAGTGAAACAATTGATGATATGTGTATATTGCTTGGTGGAGAGCTTGAGATAAAGGAGATGAAAGAATTGTGTATGGAGTATGAGGAAGAAAATTATTTTTTTGAAGCAATAATCATCAATAATTTTAACAATGGTGAGATGACACCGTCGACAATAGAATATGGGAAGCAACAAGGAAGATATTTGGATGAGTTTTTCATGTCAACTACAGAGCCACATGTTGTCAATTACATACACTTGTCATGAAAAAGATTCATACACAAGTTTGATACAAAAGAAGTCCTAGCAGAGGAGGTAAAAGAACAAATGGAGAAAATCAATACTAAATACAAGGCAGATGCTGATCATTGTAAGAGAAGAAAATTATTTATCAATGAAGCTACTATTCTAACAAATATAAGCTCGGGGTCGAGCTTCTTTCAACAATGGGAGACTGATGTAGGGCGCTTAATCTGAGTTGGAGTCTATTTAAATTAGGAAATGTAGATTAGAAAATAAATTCAATTTTAGAGTCAAATTAGATTAGGAAACAAAATAAATTTTGATTCATGATTTGTTTTCTTTATTATAAGGAGTCTTTTTAGGATAGAATTTTACACTTTCTTGGTAATTCTAGTCTTACTAGAAGTCTTATTTTATACTTTTTATTTTTGTAATTCTAGTCTTACTAGGAGTCTTATTTGTTTTTCTACTTAAGAAGAGTCATGTAACCCCAAAGGAGAATAACTTTTCATCAATAAAATTTCTCTTTTTAATATTTTCTTCGTGGATTCGAAGTTCTTCGTGGATTCGAAGTTCTTCGTGGATTCGAAGATCGTTCTTTGTGGATTCAGAGAACACCCTTGGTGGATTCCGAGGTTCACTTCCGCGCTGCATCAGATATAGACTAGAAATTAGAATACTATTGAAATTAATTAATTGACTAATTTCTAAAACAAAATTAACCAATTAATTAATTAGTTTCTAATGTCAAGAAAGGCTGGGTTAATTATTTAGTTTCTAATGTTAGGAAATTCCTATTTAGACCCCTGAATTCTCATAAGTTATTTGAAATAGATCACTAGTATTATTGATTCTACTATTTATTGGAAGAATTGATTTTGGAATGACTTTAAGTATCACAATACGTAATATCAATTTCCCTTATTTGAGGGACCACTTTTAAAATGGCTTAAGAAAAAGAGGGACCTAATAGCAATTTAAATGATTTGAAGGACTAATACCATATATAAAAGATTTAAGATATTAATATAGAAAAAAAACTTTTCGATTATTTGGTGGCTTATTTTTATTTTGATGCACCAGAGTTATCTACCTTGTCACTTTAAACTCTTAAAAGTATTTCTTTTAACAATAAATAGTATTTTGTTGGATAAAAGGAGAAAATAATTATTTAATAGTAAATCTCCATGAAAATGACATGCTAAATTCTTCAAGTTAAAAAATTATATTATTCTATAATCTAAAGTTACTTTAAATTATTTATAAACTTTCAATACATAATTATGGAGATTTGTATATAGTTTACCTATACAAATCCAAATATTCACATAAGATTTAGGGCTATTTAGTATTGGTCCCTCAAATTTTTAATGGTTCTGTATTAGTCATTGACAACTTTGAAATTACTCATAATTTTTAATTTCAATGTATGAAACTGCAATTAACCCAGCTCCCATTTACATGTATAACTACAAATAATTGGCTATGCACCCTATAGAATGTACCATATATTACGCATCCTAACATGTAACTATACACTTAATACTACGTAGGTATCCACTTTGTTCGATATAAATCAGTATCGTATTTTGAGTTCATGAAAATGTATAGAACTATGTGGGTTTTAAAGTAAATGGGGTCAAGCTTTGGGTTAAGTATCTTGTTGTTCCTAAATGGCTATTTGGTTGGCTGTAAAACTAAGAAAATGAAATCAAAATACTCGACACACACATGTGAAGATGTTGATTTCCTTTTTTTGTGTTTGGTTGAGAGAGAAAAAATAAATGTTGTGCATGTGAGATCCACACACAAGTAAGATAGTAGTGTCATGGGTCCCACATTTAAGGAAATTCATTTCCTCTCAAAAAATCATGAAATGAGCTTGAAAATATGAAAATGGGTCTGACAACCTATTTCCTACGAGTAATTTCACAACATTAGGTTTCTAGTAAGGGGCTATTTGCTTCGGCCAAATTTTTAGGAATCCTGTAGTTTTGGAACAAAAAGTAGGTTTTTTGTCATTATAGGATTTCAAAACTACCATTTGGTTTATTTAACTTTTTTTTAAAGAATATCTTTTTTAAAAGCTGACATGGCAGTCTACTTTATGGAAAGCCCAAATCCTCTTTTTAAGCTCGGAAATGGGTTAAAAATCTGACAACTCATTGACAACTCATCATTTACTCTCGCAACTCCCTAAATTATTTGACAATGAAACAAACATGAGTTTTGGATATGTTTTTTTATTCTTCACTTCATCATTTCATACCAAACATAATCATGAATTTCATTGAGATCTGCAATTTTTTTTAGAAATGGTTATTTGTCTTGGAATTAATTTCCATTATTTTATGGAAACGAACCAAACAGTCCCTAAATGCATATGTTCATACACACCATTATTTCATTATTTCCATTATTTCATTGAGATCCGCTTAGGGGTCGACCTTCGGCTGTCCAGGCCAGCTCGCCATGGATCACGCCCCGGCCTGGCCCATATGGGTTGGCCCCTGACCTGACTCATGATATACCAGGTCACGAGCCGGGCTAGGTCCAACCCCATATCCAGGATCAGAGAAATAGACTTGACACACCATTGACCCGACCTACCCCAACTCGACCCACCGTTGACTTGCTCGATGTAGAAGAACGATCACAAGGACATCAAAACAATACATTTCCTTGAAGAATTTAATAAATATAACTTGGAGAAATTCAGCTCCTTGAACATTAATAGTTAAATTTTTCCTTTTTTTTCTTCATGTATTTGTAATTTAAATTTAAACTAAGGGGCTGTTTGGTTGGTTTCCTAAAACCCAAGAAAAAGAAAACTACACGCTTTTATCATTAAAATATTATTTTCATCCATTTCCATCCCAAGAAAGAAAATCTATACACTTTTATCAATAAAAAATTATTTTTATCCACCAACTCATCATATCTCATCTCCTTTCTTACTTTTAAAAATAAACCAAACACAAGATGTTGGTCACATCATCTAACTCATCTCATCTCCAACTCATATCATCTTTAAAAATCACCCACATCATTAAATAATATAGTGATAACTCATCTCATCTCATTAACATTTCATTTCCACCCATTTCCTCAAAAAACCAAGTAAATTGATTTCCTTAAGTGTGGGTCACATCATCCAATAATATAATGACAACTCATATCATCTCATCTATTTTTTTATTTTTAAGAATGAACCAAACACAAGAAAAAACTCATTATAGGAAATATGTTTCTTATAATTCATTTCGTTATTTTTTAACCAACCAAACAACATCATAACAAGTTTTCTTAAAAAATCACTCACATCATCTAATAATATGGTGACGACTTATCTCATCTCATCTTCTATTCGTTGATTTTCTTTTTTTAGAGCCAACCAAACAACCATAAAATAAGTTTTATTAAAAATATATTTCATATTCTTTGATTTCATTCTTTTTTTTAGCCAAACAAACAACCCCTAGAGGAAAGATTTTAACTTCCCAACATAGGTCTTTCTTCAAAGTGCGAACCATATATATCTTTGTGTTTGCAATATTTTTTCGTGTGATGTTTATCTTTTTGTGTATGTATATATATAATTTTAAATAAAGAGTGAAATAGGAAAAAAATAACGAAAATATAATTTAATAGATCAAATACAACGCTAATACACTTTAGAAATTAAAGATGAAAAAAATAGAAAAAAAGTTGAAAAAAACTCACTAATAGACCCACGATCCATATGCTGTGGGTCAGGCTAGACCTAGCCCGTTTGTAAGGGGTGATGCCGAGATGGGTCCAACAATAGACCTGACATGAAAAAATGAAACCGGCCCACTATGCACGGGCCCGGCCCACACCCACCCTACTGATGACCCGCTGACTGACCCGCTCGAAACCGGCCCACTATGCACGGGCCCGGCCCACACCCACCCTACTGATGACCCGCTGACTGACCCGCTCCCCGGCCACACTCCCTAACGCCAGTGGAAAACAAGCCAAAAACGGAGAGCTGCAGAAGTAAAGGGATCGCTATCAAATTCAAAATCAAGAGAAAATCAAAACCGATGGGCGAAGAGCAGCAACAATCAACGAGTAAACTGATGACGATCCCAAAAGAAGGGGAGAGGATACTGGGCCCCACTCGGCGGCCCGACGGAACCCTAAGAAAGCCCATCAGAATCCGGGCAGGCTACGTTCCTCAGGACGAAGTCGCCATTTATCAGTCCAAAGGCGCCCTTGTACCAAAACCCTAGTCTTTGCTTTTTTTCCCCTCAAAAAAACCCTTCCCTATTTGTTATTTTGGTGGTCTGAAATTAGTGTAATTTCAATGATGCAGCTGAAAAAGGCGCAGCCGGAGGTGCCGCCAGGGTTTGATCCCGATGCAGTGGCGGCGAATAAGCCGAAGACGAAGTCGGCGAAGAGGAATGAGAGGAAGAAGGAGAAGAAGCTTCAGGTGATTAATTAATTTATTTGTTTATTTCATTTTGATCTCACCCCTTTTTCCATCATGTAATTAGTGTAAAAACCGTGACTTGGAAGATAGTTTTCACTCACAAATGTGCACAATTTCTTCTTTGATACTGTTGGACGCTTTTGAATTTTACAGGATAGTTACTGAGTAGAGGAGAGGAGAGTGATCATAAATTTAAGGTTCTGTAGGAAAAAAAGATGGAAATAGAAAATTATCGTAGGAGCTCTCTAAGTGCAAGCAGGAAACCTTATTTTTTACAGTACACAAATTTAGCAGTGAATAAAAAGAGAAAAGGATCATAGTCATACCTTAAGGTGAAATGAAGCTTAGAACCACAAATGCCCGTGTTTGTGTGAAGGTCTATTGATATGTAGTGGCCTGAGATTCGCATGGTGAAATATGTTACTTGTTGGAGCTTGCTATAATGCTCATAATGATTTCTTTATAATCTATTCTACCTACATAATGCCTCAACACGCTTGTCTGAGAAACT